TAAGGTGCCACAAGTACTCCTTTTCTTTTTGTCAGTAGAAAGCAAGGAGTGGAGGATAATGAAGAAGGGTATTTTAAGAGGACATTCCTTTACTTTTAAAGGGAACACCCCCTCACAAAAACCCTTAAGCAACCTTAACTGGTTTGTAACAAAGTGCTTTTTGGGGGATAGGAAGAGACCTTGCATACTGAGATAAATCCACCCCCTTTTAGTGCTAACCAGGCCTTCCCTTTTTAGGAACCATCAGAAAATATTCAGGTCCATTGCATATCTTTTATATCTCCATATTTTGAAGATGGCAAAATATAAGGAATATCAACTACAGTTGCTGAGTATCCCAAACAATGATTTTTGCCTGTCACAGGGTAGTTGGTCCCTGTCAGCAGACTGGGCCCCGCTCCCCTTTGTCAGAGCAAGTGGGCCCAACTGAGCCACTTAAAGGGGGCAGGGCTACAAGTGGGGCTATAAATGCCTGTCATGGGCAGGAAGAGGAGTGATTGGGGCAGGCTGTCTATGGGGCGAGGCACTAACTCTAATGGTGGGCCCCTGATATGAGGGAAGAGTGAGCTGGATTTTTGATGCCCAGTGAAAGGTAGGGGTGTGTGTGTGAACACAAAGGCAGAGTGAATATGAATAAGACCGCTTAGATATACTTTTACTCCACCCCCCAGCCCCCAACTTTAGTGGTTAACAGTGGTTTCATGTTCAGCAGAATTCATTAGATATAGGCAGTTTCTCATCAAGCATGATGGAAGGGCCAGTTTAATATTCAAAGTAATTTAAAAATGTTACCTAAAATTTCCCTTTGGAACATTTACATAGTATGCAGTTAACTTGTTGCATCTAATTTGGGTGTATATACTGCTGGGTCATTAGTGTAAAAATTTAAGAGTTTAACATGCTTTCTGTTCTGTTCAACAAGTTATCATTTTCAACATCTGTTGCTGGCAGTGACAACAGCCTTATTACTTGGCTAACTTGTATAGAGTAGTAAACCCCATGCAGAGGGGAAATTACAATTTTATATACTGTACATACAGTTCTAATATGAATACCAATATGATATCTAATTTTCCCTCTATAGAATAGGAAAATATAAATTCTAATATAAATTTTATTATTGGCAGGGCTGATTAAGGTTGCCAGACACTTCCCATTATAAGACCCTCTTTCCAGTTGCTTATAACTTTGCCAGATTTAATTGTCTGGGCTGAAACTTTTCAGGTTTCCCCAGCCAAAACAATTCAGCCCTATACAAAAATGAGGATAGGAGAAAACACAGTTTTGTGCTTGTTAAATTATGGCAACCTTTTCTCTGAACAGTTTTTCAACCCCCATGCTTTGGAGCAGGAACTTGAAATTTAACAAGTGGGTGGCTATTGTGTCAGGAATCACTCTCTGTTGCCATGAAAATCTTCCCACATTTGCCTAAGTTATAAGCCTTTGAAAAACTGCAGCTCACATATGCTCAGTAGAGACTTCAATTTTATCGACTAAAATCTCTGAAGAGTCAGTCGTCACTGAGCATGCTTGAGCCTCTCAGATCTTACTGCTGAACAGACGACACATGCTCCAACCCCTCAGCTCCTACTGTGACCAAACTACACATTTAGCAAGCCCCACAGAGCAACTGAGCATGCTCCCACCAGACCAGGGCTACAGAGGCAATGCCTGGCTACCCCTGTCATGGCTGCTCCAGGCCAGCATGCGGCCATGCACTAGAATGAAGAGCAAGGAATGTCTGATAGTGACACCCCTACTGGTATGCAGGCAACGAGGAGGAGGAAGCCCTATGATTCAAATGCAGAGGGACCAGGTTCTTCCTGCAGTTCCCTGCCTCAATCACTGCACACCTTCCAACTGTGCAACAGATGAGGGACGGGGCCTATAGACAGGGCCAGCCTTAGGGAAAATGGCACCCTGGATGAACTTGTATTCTGATGCCTCTGGCCCCCATGGGTGGCCCCCAGCATTTCACCTGGCCGTGTGGGCCCCAAACCCTAACCCCTGCACTGTTCCCCCATTGCCCCTAACCCCTGTATCCCCCCTCCTGCACCCACATAGGAAAATTGACCTCGATGCATGGAGCGCTTGGTATTACTCCTCACTCCCCTGTTCACAGTCCCCTAAGGGGGTGCAGAGGAATGTTGGAGAGCAGTATCTGTGCATCCGCATTTGCCTCCTCCTTCCATGTTCCTGCTCCAGATGAAGCCAGGAGAAATATGGGCAACCTCCTCCCCCCCCCCAGCACTCTCCTGCCAGTTGGGAGCCACTTCTGACTCTACACTGGCAGCAAACATCTCTGTGCTGCCGCACAGCGCTCCCCTTGGCCATGGCGCCCCTGGGTAGTTGCCCAGATGGTCCACCCCTAAGGCCGGCCCTGCTTAAAGACAACAGCCTCCTTCACTACCCAGCCCTGATTCATCCCCAGAGCAGGTCCTCCTATTCACTGAATGAGGCAGGAGTTTTGTGGAAAAATATGATGTGATCATGTAATTAAAGACTGTATGACAGTGCATATGCACAGGACAAAAATAATTAAGGTTGCACAAAGCATCTTAATTCTGGCATTTTCTAACTTTTGAGTACTTGACTTTGCAACCTTAATAATCTTCTTTCAATGAAGTTTGTTTTGTGTGAAATATTAGGTAGATTCAGAACCACTGCAACTGAGCAGATGAACTGCTAATTTTTATCTAATTAGTGATAGGCAGATGGATAATTTGGAAACATATGCTTGTGTCATAAATATAAAGGGAAGGGTAAACCCCTTTGAAATCCCTCCTGGCCAGGGGAAAGCTCCTCTCACCTGTAAAGGGTTAAGAAGCTAAAGGTAACCTCGCTGGCACCTGACCAAAATGACCAATGAGGAGACAAGATACTTTCAAAAGCTGGGAGGAGGGAGACAAACAAAGGGTTTGTGTCTGTCTGTGTGCTGCTCTTGCCAGAGACAGAACAGGAATGGAGTCTTAGAACTTTTAGTAAGTAATCTAGCTAGGTATGTGTTAGATTATGATTTCTTTAAATGGCTGAGAAAAGAATTGTGCTGAATAGAATACCTATTCTCTGATAGTGATTGTCAGCCTACAGAAAAAGACAATTCCCTTGTCTCTGCTCTGGGCCCAAATTAAAGCAAAAAACCTCCAACTGCTTGGAAACCTGCTTACCCAGCCCAAAGAAAAAGCAAATGGGTAGAACACACACCCCCTATTTACTTTTAGGAAGAAAAGAAAAAAAAAAACAATGGGTTGGAAGACTGAATTTCCCTGCAGGAGTTAAGTACCCTGCCTCCAGGCAAAAAAACCTGCAATTCACAAGATAATCCCCTTGTCTCTGCTTGGCCACAAAGCAGAGAGAAACCAAGCTGCTTTCAGTTTCAAAGCTGCTTTCTGGACTTTCTTTCCAAAGAAAAAAAAATTTCCTTTTTAAAATCTGTATTTCTAGTTCAAAAAATCTCAACTGGATCTCAAATGATTTCAGGTTAATCCCACCACTGTGCCACCATGTCAAGGTTCCTCCCCCACTCTGAACTCTAGGGTACAGGTGTGGGGACCTGCATGAAAAAACCCCCTAAGCTTATCTTTACCAGCTTAGGTCAAAACTTCCCCAAGGTACAAAATATTACACCCGTTATCCTTGGAATGGCCGCTACCACCACCAAACTAATACTGGTTACTGGGGAAGAGCTGTTTGGACGCGTCTTTCCCCCCAAAATACTTCCCCAAAACCTTGCACCCCACTTCCTGGACAAGGTTTGGTAAAAAGCCTCACCAATTTGCCTAGGTGACTACAGACCCAGACCCTTGGATCTTAAGAACAATGAACAATCCTCCCAACACTTGCACCCCCCCCTCTCCTGGGAAATGTTGGATAAAAAGCCTCACCAATTTGCATAGGTGACCACAGACCCAAACCCTTGGATCTGAGAACAATGAAAAAGCATTCAGTTTTTTAAAAGAAGACTTTTAATAAAAAATAGCAGTAAATAGAAATAAAGAAATCCCCCCTGTAAAATCAGGATGGTAGATATCTTACAGGGTAATTAGATTCAAAACATAGAGAACCCCTCTAGGCAAAACCTTAAGTTACAAAAAAAGTACACAGACAGAAATAGTTATTCTATTCAGCACAATTCTTTTCTCAGCCATTTAAAGAAATCATAATCTAACACATACCTAGCTAGATTACTTACTAAAAGTTCTAAGACTCCATTCCTGTTCTGTCTCTGGCAAGAGCAGCACACAGACAGACACAAACCCTTTGTTTGTCTCCCTCCTCCCAGCTTTTGAAAGTATCTTGTCTCCTCATTGGTCATTTTGGTCAGGTGCCAGCGAGGTTACCTTTAGCTTCTTAACCCTTTACAGGTGAGAGGAGCTTTCCCCTGGCCAGGAGGGATTTCAAAGGGGTTTACCCTTCCCTTTATATTTATGACAGCTTGTTTTTAATAGTATAGTGCCCATACATAGTTGTAATAAAAGTCCTAGAATAACAGAGCTTTATTTAGATATCAAAACAAGCTTGGAAAGGAATAAACAGAACGGTAATATTTAATGAATTTTGTATATGTTGTTGCTAATTTATAGACATCTATGCCCAAATTTTCTGAGTTTTCCATGCACAACTGGTGCCTACGTTGTGCACACAACTGTGTTCCCTGCATGCACCTATTAAATGCATCACTGTACATGCAAAATTCTGAAAATGTAGGATGCATAGAGACCATTAAGACCCCAATCCTGCAGATTACTTCAGTGAGACAACTCACGCATAAAGTTAAGAGGAATACTCATCTTCAGAATGCTAGATCAGGGGTAGGTGAACGGCTAGGGAAATTAATATGCAAATATGCCACCTTACACATTTTACAATAAAAACTACACCGTGCTTATGAAAGACTGACTGTAGAAGATCAAAAAGTGAATGACCTAGCACAACTTTGCAGCTATTTGTATTTTTGCAAACTTACACTTAAAAAAAAAAAAAAAAACAACTCCATAGCAGGCATTTACCAACATAGATTTTTATTTGATTTCAAAATAATGGGATTAATTTTATTTATATTTATAATAATCCAGTAATTATCTAAAGCAAATGTACATTTGTCAGAATTTTTAGTAGGTGCCATTTTTGACTTTTGAAAATATAAGACAGGGTGCAAGAAGGAAATATAAAATTGGGTTAGCCAAATATAGTACTGGAGCTTTATAAGAGAGACATATATACTATGTTATTTTAACTAAGTCTACCAGTTAAACATGCTGTAACAGCTTTCCACTAATTTACACACCCCCATAAACATAAATCTGTAACACTAATCCCAAGAGAAATCCATCACTGATTATCAGGCCCAAGCTAATAGTTAAAAATAAATAGCAAGAAAATGAAAAAAAAGTTGTTTCTTCATTGTAAGGACCTTCCCTTTTTCCATGAAGGCTTTATCTTTATTAAAAGTTAATGAAAGCTGGTTTGTCACCCTATGTTATTACTATTGAAGATTCAACTCAGTTTGCACAATTTAGAGCCATAATGTCAGTTGTTTTATATGCAAATCATTGGGTACTTAGTTTAAAAAAAATACTTAACTGGATTTTGTGAATATGCTATTATGGTTCTTAAACAGTTGGTGTATTTTTTTTTTATTTGACCAAATAAAGAACCGTTCTCCCGGCCTGTTTTTTTTAAGAATTGATGCACAATCCTAGAGTTTGCTGAGACCTAGATGACCAAAAGCAGACAGGTCAGTGTGGGTTCATGACTTGTGACCTTTGATTAAACCCATATACTTCTCAAATGAGCTATAAGGAGGTTCCAAAAAATTGTTTGGTTTCTAATAGTGTCCATTGCCAAAATAACAGCTCACAAGTTCTCCTCCTCACGTAAAAACTGGAACACAGCTGAGAAGTCTTTCAGGGCATAGCCCTTTGCACACATGATCCTATATATCTGATGTGCTAGAGATCCCAGAGGAACAGGTGTTTTAGTGTTGGTAGCAGTAATCTGTGCCAAGCCAAGATCCTGAAAGCAGAAAAAACATTGGGAGAAACAACAAGGAATTAAGTAGCCATATGAGTATTACCAGCTATTTGGCTTCCTTGTAAAGAGAAGCCACTGCCAACAAACGAAATAATGCAGCCTTAAAATTCCAGCCCTGGAAGAAGGCAAGTATTGCCTTCATTTTTTTATATTGCTACGGGAGCTGCACCACAAAGTCCAAAACAGCCTTTGATTAATTTCAAACAAAAACTGATTTTTTTTTCCAGTTTTTCCTCAAATGAAATGAATTCAGGAAAAATAAAATCCATTTGAAGCACCTGAAATGGGGGGGGAAAAAACCAACAACCAAAAACAACCTTTTTCATTTTTGGGGGTCTCATTCACCTTTAAAAATATATTGTTAAATTTCTAAATGAAATACCATTTAGAGAAAAACGTCAAAACATTTTGACATTTTCCCATTGTTTTTCTGGCTGAAACTATCAGCTAAATTTGACACAAATTCAGTGAATAGTTTGAGCACTGCAGAAAGTGCATTTTCCGGTGAATTTATGCTGAAGAACCAAATGGACCCATCAGTTTTTGGCACCACGTTGGAGCTCAGCTTTCTCTCTCAATCACTGTTTTAGAAGTAAAGAGGCAGTGTGCTGAGTGGCAAGAGCAGAGGACTGTCAGGATTCCTGAGTTCTGTAATTGACACTGCCACTGACCATGTGACACTTGCATAAAACCAGCTTCTCAGAGCCTCAGTTAACCATCTTCAAGTGGGCATAATAGTATTTACTCTCCTCAAACCCTCCTAGGCTAGCCTGGTCTCTTGAGCTGCATGAGGAGTTTATACCAGGAGAAAGGCACATTCTGTTTCCATCATAGCTCTCACCTGGGGACCACTTAAGATTTCCCTTGTCAGCTGGGAAAGCCCTGTCCATGGAGACCGTAGTAGGGTTCTGACAGAGCAGGTTCCTTGGCTGTCCTGACCATGCCCATTTCTCAGCTAGTATTGCTCCACTTTCCTTGGCATATTAGCCTAAGGGTATGTGTAAGCTGCAGCGGGGAGCGAGCAGACAGACTCACGCTAACAGGGCTCACACTAGCATACTAAAAATAGCAGTTTGGATGTTGTGGCTCAGGCTGGGGCTTGTGAGTTTGTCTGCTCAAGCTGGTAGTCTCTCTCTCAGCTTCAGTGTAGATCATACCCATAGGCTACATCTACTTGGGGATAAAAGCCCTGTGTGGCAAGAGCCGTGACTGCAGTGGTGAGCTGACTTAGGCTTATCGGGCTTGGGCTGCGGGGCTAAAAATTGCTGTGTAGATATATGGGCTGGAGCCCAAGCCCTTGTACCCTCCACCCTCACAGGACTCCAGAAAAGCTGTTACTGTGCTGTCTGGTCAACACACTGTTGACATCATTGGCTGATAGCGAGCAGAAGACCGCCCTAGCCCCTGAAAACCAGTATGCTGCTTTCTTGTAGAGATACCTTTTTCTATGAATGGACACGAAATATAAATGGGCTCCCCAACTCTTGAGAATGTGTTTATGATCACAATTTTCCAGTGGTACACTCTAAATTCGGAGGGACCATTCACTAGCATAGGCAGAATTTCCATAGATCTCGGTATGACCATTCAACATGGATAATGAGTCCCTACTCCAAGACTGCTGAAACACAGAGCTGCTACTTGTTGGGGGTGTACCTGACCTTTTGCTTGACATCATAAGCACATGACCCCTAAATGGACAAGGACTTCTCTGACTCCAGTGTAAGAAACGAGAGAAACAACTTTGCTCTTCTCTCCTAAGATGGATGTGATTCCCTCACGTTCTGTGTCAGGCTGATCTCTGAAGTAGCATCGATGCTGTTACAGAACAATATACTGCTAAGCATGATCATAAACTTCAGATTGTGACGTTTCCAGCATCTTTTCTGTAGCTGCTTGAAGCTCCCGGAACAGGACAACTTTGACTAATCAACATTCGATAAGATGTACTTTGTATCCTCTTAAAGCAACTGCCAGCAATACTTGCACTTTTGTAAAGGGGATGAAGACCGAAGGAAAGGAGCTATATTTACCTAAAACAACCCAATTTTGGAAACCGTGCGCCAACAGACATCCTGCAACATTATCCAAAACATAATCTCGGGGCGCAGTCACTTGTCTTCAGAATTTATATTCTGAATTTCTTCCGATGACAAAGTTGTTCTGACTGGGATCCGGCTCTTCCTGACCTTTTGGGAAAGGCAGAATCAGAATATACTTTCCGGCCCCTCTCCCCCTCTTGGGAACTGACACAATGGCTTCCAGATGTCTCACTATCAGAGACTAAAGCAGTTTTTGCTGGACTTGGAGAAATATCCATCTTTTATGGGGAAGCAGTGGCCAACATTTTTAAAAGAATGTTTGTTGTTATTAAGGAAATACTTCATCTATTTTTAGTTATTTTCTAGTCTGACCTGAATCTGATTCTGCCATTCAAAGGAAAACCCAAAGACTGTCCTGACCTAGTATCAGAAACTCTTTAGTAAAAAAAAAATGGAAAGCCCTACTTCTGCCCCTACTCCGTCTGATGAATCACCCTGACAAGGGTCAAGATTAATACGATCTAAATCTAGCTCCTCCAGGAATCCTAAAAGGAAGGCTGTTATCAACACCTTTAATGTTAATGGGAGGAGAGGACTTCTGATCTGTAATGTCTTCTCTGTATAACCCTCTGACCCTTAAAAGGAAAAGCAATAAATCTGATCTTTGAAGTGAAATCTCCAGACCAGGGCTCATATTAGAGAGCTTGTCTAGACACTAGGTTACACTCCAGACTTCGAGACAGAAGAGAGGTGATTTCCAGAGAGGTGTCTTATAGAAAATTTGCTGCCAAAAAACCTTGGAGCCTATAACTTTGTCTGTAGGATCCATCAGTGGTGGAATACTTTAATAAATCTTTCAACTATCACCACGTTTGACATCTGAGAAGATGAAGTTTTATGACCATCTTAGGACAACAGCTATCTTGTGGTCATTTGACTCTTTAGATAATTTTTCTGTGTAGACAGTCATCTTCTCCACTTCAAGAGATGCTCTTCCTCCCCTTCTCTACAAACTCTTATTATTCATTATTGTTTTATGTGCTGTGCAGTTCACAGGAAAAATAAAAGAGTAGGTCCCTGGCCTGAAGAATTTACAATCTAATTTGAATAATGGCATGAGTGGGTGGAACAAACAAAAGGATAAATTCTCATCTAACAAATCTCTTTAAATAGACTAGGGACTGGACTGTTTAGTACCTGGAAGAGGTCACCACATCACCAATTTTCACCTTTTGGGATGTTCAGTAACGGATAGCTCTAGTGCCTTAGCTAAATGCTTACTCAAGTAATTCTTCGATGCAGAGGGAACAATGTGTCCCCTGAGGATTGTTCAAGAAGTGCTAGAAAAATCTACTGCCTTTCCATCCCTCCTGTGTTGCAGATTCAAGATTAGATGAAGACAGTCCGACACTTCAGCTTTGCTCTTTGGGGGAAGGGAGGAGGAGGAGACTCAGCTGAGGGCAGCTAGCAATCTGACTATGATTTACATTATGAACACTCTTGTGCTTTAGGAAACCTTAGCTATCCCTGACACTTGGATAGGCCAGAGGTTGGCAGCCTTATCAGTGATAGAAATTAAATTCTGATTTTGAAGAATGAAGTGCTAAATTAGTTAGCTCACATCAATTTTAATGACAGCTCACACACCTTTGCACTGGTGTCTCCTTTTTTCCTGTACCCTTTTCTTCTACCTTTTTTTTTCTTTTCTATCGACTGCTTTCATCTTTCTACTCCTTCCTGTTCGCTAGTAACTTTCCTTACACCCCTCCCCAATCTGCTACTGCTCCACAAATATGCTCTATTTTATTCACATTAGAAAAATGCCTATCATAGTACCAGGGCACCAGACCCAAAAATTTATGGGTGGCATTGAAATTGTCCATACAGGACTCACCTTTCCACTCACTGCCCTGGTGTCATTTATATTTTTCTTCTACTGTTTTTCACTATATGTGCAAGAAGATCAACAAAGTAAAACTGAGGTGGCTGATGGATGGCTGGCGCTCCTTCCAGGCCCCTGCCACCATGACAGGGAACAACACTGACCCCCTGCCTCGAGAGTGAGGCCCCAGGTGCCCCCATCCAGTACACACACACACCCCCTTCCCATAACCCCAAATACCTCCTCAAACACCACTCTCAGTATACAAACCCCTCCAGCACCCCACCAAATACCCCCTCCTAGTACATACACACCTTAGCACCCCTAAAATACCCCCTCCTAGTACATACACACCTTAGCACCCCTAAAATACCCCCTCCTAGTACATACACACCTTAGCACCCCTAAAATACCCCTCCCAATACACACAGACCCCTCCAGGACCTGAAAATAACCCCTTCCAGTACACACCCCTCCAATACCCCCAAATACCACTCCCAGTACACACACCCCCTTCCCATACTCCCAAATACCTCCTCCAGCACCCTCCAAATATCTTCTTCCAGTACACACACTCCTCCAGCACCCCCAAATATTCCTTCCAGCACCCCCAAATACCCTCTCTCAGTACACACATTCCTCCATCACCCCCCAAATTCCCCCTCCCAGTACGTACGTACACACACACACACACACACACCCCCCTTCCGGCACCCCCCCCCCCAACTGAACCCCCCTTCAGCTCCTCCCCTGCATCCTCTTTTGGGGAACCTGAAAGATAGTAACCCTAGCCCCATCAGTTTCACTTTCTAGTTCTGCTCCTGGGTCTCTTCATTCACCTGACCGTGTGGGATATTGGGGGTGGCACAAATAAAGGACGAGAGAAGGGAGGCAGGAGTTTTGTTTCTTCTGTATCCACTCACTTTCAGGCTCTCAGACAAGTGGGTGCTCACTTCAACATATAAACTACCCTAATCCTGCAAGCTACCCCTGCATCTGTCCAGAGCCCCCCTGGAAACAATTTTGTGATGGGGAGACAAGTGAAAAATACTAACAGGCTAATATACTATGAAATATTTTGAGGTGGTTAAAACCAGAGAGACCAGCAAAAAATCCAACTTCCTTCTGCACACTGCAAATCCCACACATACTCCTAGACAGGCCCCAATCCCGCAAACCGACCTGGAAGGCTTCCCACCCTGTAGAGGTTTCATGCAGGCAGCAGGGCTGGCCCACACGAATCAGTTTGCAGCCTAAGTATGAAAGAGGGAGAATGTGCGTGTCTAAGTCACATACACACATGTGCGCCAGGGTAGGGTTTTGGGTTGATGGTTTGTTTTTGCAGCTTTTGGTTTAAACTCTGAAGTATTAGAGTCAATGAAAGAAAAGGCTCGGAAACTAGGAAGAACCCACACGAAACTTCCTTTCTGCAGCTTTTACTCCGCTTGAAAGTGAAGAGGCTGTGAACAGGCCTGTGGCATGCAAGCTACAAATATTTATTTAAAAAAAAAAAAGAAGAAAATTAAGCTCCAAGCCAAAGTGTTCTGTGCAGCAGCAGCACAGCACACAGAGTAAACTCCTGTGCCCTGGGGAGCTTATTTTATAAAGACAGATAAAGATCCCAGGGAGCATGTGGGGTTTTGGAAGATGATAGAATGAAAGGAGGGATGGAGCCTGGAGCACTGATGGGAAAGTAGCTTCAGGCCTAAAGGGTAGGCACAAACAGGAAGGAGGGAGAAGGGAACAAGAGGGGATGGAAGAGAGAAAGTTGAAAAATAATAAGAGAAAAGAACACAGGAGGAGAAGGGAGCAGCATTGTGCAAAGACTTTAAGAGCAAGAACAACAGATGTGAGAAGACAATGACAGGATGGGATGTCGATCAAGTGAGGAAATTATTTAGCTGCTGCATTGTGGATGTACTGGAAAGGAGCAATATGGGACCTCAAGAGAGACCGAAGAGGAGAAAGATGCAATAATAAGGAAGATACTAAAAGTTTCATTCTCCCACCTCTTTCATCAAATATATTACAAAAGAGATGATTACTGTCTCTCTGTGCGCCATGCAAGCGTCACTTCTCCACCTCCAATAGAGAGAAGGCAAGGAAATACGGCCGGTTTGTATCTGTATTTGACCTGTTAGATGGATGGATGGATGACTATCTATCTGGCTGGGGCAGTGCTTCATTTGTTCCCTGAGATTCCCCCTCCCTGTAGAATATATTTATTGGGGAGGGGGATAGTACTGCTTCTCTCCCGTTCCCTCCCCTTTCCTTGGGCGGCAGGGCACAGGGGGTATCCAGGTAATCGAGACTGTCATAAGGGGCCAGCTGATGGCTCTTGCCTGCCAAGGGAAGGAGATAGCATCTGCTTACCCTTGTTGCTGTTGGGTGGCCATTTTGGGCCCGCTTTGCTCTTGCAGCTATTCCATCACCATCTTGCTCACCCTTACCTAGTGAGCTGGATCTTTTATGATGCTAGGGGCTAGGCCAGTTGCCAATTGGATGGGAATTTTCCCATGTGGCAAAAATGGTAAATTGCCATGTGGGTTTTCTCACCTGCCACCCAGCATCTCAGAGGTCTGGTTTCGGGGAGGAGTGTTTAAAAGTTTAAATTACACTCACACCTTTGGCGGGTTCCAGTGCAGTTGCTGGATTTAAAAGGTCTGATGTAAGGACCCTGTAACGCAATGGGCTGCCTGGTCATGGGCCCAGAGCATGACACTGCATGTCTCATGCAGCATATGGCTCCCCTCATCTCATCTCTCCTACTTCCTGCATGGAGACTCTGGCTTCCAGCCTGGATCCCTGGGCAGGCCTTAGAGCATAGAGGGGTACTTCATACCCACCTTCAGGACATAAGTACACAGCTGAAATCCACCCTGGAACAGCCCAGCTGAGTAGTTAGGGTTCCTCATTGGTTAAGGGTTCTTAATTAAATGCAGAGGTCACAATTTTAAATCTTATTGTCTCCATGTCCACATCAATAGGTATAATACTTACACCTACCCCACAGGGGTCTTGGGAGGGTTAAGTCAATCAATGTTTGTGAAGCTGTCAAATGGAAGACACTGTGGTCCAAATCCTAGGATATTGTAAATCAGATAATTCTACTGAAGTCAATAGAAATACGCTGATTTATATCATCTGAGGATCTAATACTGCACAAGTGCTAGAAATTATTCTATATGGCCACTAGTTGACCAGGAGCATGTGCTGCTGGAAGAAGTCCAACTTCAAAGAAGGAGGATATGGCTTTGTTGACGGTCTTTGAAACATAGAGTCATAACACTAACCTTCACTGATCCAACACTAAGAGAAACCCCCCTTATAAATCTACAACCACACCTATCAAGGACTCAGCTGATAATTCAGAGCTACAATAACTTGTGGTCCTCTCCAGGAGTGCACATAATTCCAAACACCATTAACAATTTTAACTGAGGGAAGAACATCACATTCCATCCAGTGGCTGCTGGAATTGTGGTACACTGTTAGAAGTCCGGTATAAGCGATCGATGATATTCAGGGAGACCACACGCACAACATAGAAACATTTCTCATGTATTCTGACAATCAAGAACAATAAAATAGTTCTTTCCATACTTATGATTTATATTTATATACCTTAGCCATGAGCGTTGTTCCAAAGCCACCTTGGTAATTATTAGCAGAGGGTACTCCTTCCATTACTCCTGGAACAGGGTTGTAAGTGTCGCTTGACCAACAACGGCCTGAACTCATATTTAGGATTTTAGCCAGCAGTTTCGGGTCAAGCCCAAACCTGTCAAAGGTCAAGGAAGAGAAGTGTTAATGTCAAAATGCACAAGATATGGGTGACTTGTTTTATATGCTAGGACCACACTATCATTTCTCTCCCTTTATTGTAAGTCAAGAAAAATGATAGAGTATTGATATGGGGGGAGGGGATCCCCTATCCTAAATTAAAGGGTATCAATCTATCATTTAAGCAATACGTTTTCAAAGCTTCTGCCTTCTGCTCTATGAAAAGACCTTTCCCCTAACAATTTTGAAAATGCAAGCGAAATAAAGGCCCTCTGAGAATAGCAGTTCTCTTGCATGCCTATTACCAAAAGAAGTTTTCAGTTCTTCCACATACTACTATATACCTGTGCTTCATACCTTTACAGCCAAATGTTAATCTTAGAAACTGGATGAACGATTTCAAAACTAAGTATTGGCAAATAAAAGGTGCATTATGGAAATATGTGTTGGTGAATTTATGGGTGTATATTTACTTTTTAATGAAAGCAATGTAATATTAACAATAAGGAGACTGAAAGATGTTATCCCTATTAAAAACATTTACTGTTGTTCACATTTGCAAACTAGTTTTTATTATTATTAAATCTTCATTATACACTCTTGCTTAGGAAGCAAGTCTGCATGAAACTGTGACATATGCTCTCTATCTATTCACAGACATGCATTATAGTTCTGGGTCAACTGCTGATAAGGTTACTGATCCTGATAAAACAAAGCTTGTCCGAGCAGAAACATCATTTGTTCTAGCACTGAGCTGATGGCATAAACTGCTGTTCACTGTGGACTTTAAAAGAAATGTAGTCAAGATATTACTTTAACACACTGAGTTTTTAACCCTGTTATTATTTTGCGTTTTTGCTGAATATCAAGTTGCAAATGTAATTTTACACCAATTGCATTTATATCAATTGGTAGCAATATTTTTTAAAGGTTCTATTTATATTCGTTGCACTCTCCATGAAAAGAGATCAGACACAATTATCTCCTATATCTCCTAATGCAAAGCAGAACAAGAATTTTTGAAAGAGACTTCACAACCTACTATAGCCGTATACTTCCTGCAGGAAAACTGACAAGACTAAACATAAAATATGTTTCATACCACAATTCCAAGTCAGTTTTACCCAGGGCCGGATTATGACATTCTGAGGCCCTAAGCTATGTCAAGTGTAAGCAGCTCCATAAAAAAAATGAATTTATTATTTTCACAGAAAGGACATTGAATATATAAACCCAAAAGTTCTCATAGAAAAACAAGAGAGGATATATAATTTTTTAAAAGCCATAAATAAGGAAAAGTATCCTCCTTTTCATATGAATAAATAAAAAAATCATTTGATTAATTTTGTTAGGGAAATACAAAGTTTATCCAGACTATATATAAAATATATTTACAAATGTTTATTCCGATTTAATTTTCGCTACAAAAAAAATGAGTTGTTGGGATTTTTCTTTGCCATACTATAAAAATGTAGTGAAGGTTCCCGAAACTGACGGAGGGAAGCCAACACAAATTTATCCTCCTCAAGATCCACTCGACCGAAGTCCATAGGATGATCACCTGCAAACTCAATCACGTGAAAAATGGACAGCGTTTCAAGCAGCATGCACACTAAAATACACAATTGTACATATCTACAGATCAAAAGAAGAAAGAACACACTAACACTTAAGAAAACGAAGAAAAACAGGATCGAAGGCGCTACACGACTGAGCGTGCTGGACCGTAAACAAAAGATGGTGGCCTTCCAGCTATTACCAGCCAAGGGGGATGCTATACATGACATCTCTCCTAGAACGAGTCCCATAGGGGTATGAGCTTGGCAGGATTGCTTCACGACACTGCCGTCTCCAACCTCACGTTTTCCCCGAAGTGAGTTTATTTATTGAAATAAATTATGAAGGCGGGTCAGAATTTTACCAGTAGCAGTTGGCCAACAAAACGCTGCCTTAGGAGACTGATAGCAGACTTACTTGTAAAAATATTAATTTTACAAATGCAATTATCAGTTTTTTCTCAGCCCTAGTCTCCCGCCTATCAATAATGAACAATCATTGAAGGGTAAGGGTATTTGTGTAGCCAGGTGTGTATATTTTTGTCATATTTGAACAAAAATGTCTATATTTAGAGAGAACATTCTTTTCCCCATATTTCCTTTACTTATCAACCAATTTTGATCAAATTTGAAATGGAGTCAGTTTTTTCTTTTTTAGAGTCCCCTCATATTGCGAAGGCCCCAAACTGTAACTTAGTTAGTTTATGCTTTAATCCTGCACTGGTTTTACCTTCTCACAAAGAGAAGGTTCCTCCTCTTTGCACCAATTCTTTAATTGTGGCAACAACAGATCAGCAAGGTATCCAAACTAATCATAGGAATCTCTGTTTGTAGCATGTAATATTTAATTTATGGGAGATTAAGGGTCATTTATTAGTGGATTTTGTAAATATACAAATTTAAAATGTAACATTTATGTATTTAAGTTTAAAATATAAAATGACACTTTATATGGTGGGTACTAAGGTGTGGATCCTGCTCCCTTGGAAATATGTCTCACCTGTTTCCTCCTCCTTTTAAAAACACCCAATATTTCAAAGGTTCTTTTTAGAATTACCACTGTTAGTCCCGTATTTAGGGCCTGATGCAACAGCCCATGGAAGTCAGTGGATAGGTTCCCACTGACTTCAATTGGATCAGGGCCTTATTACCCCCTCTCTCCCTCCTTTTTGAATTGAGCTTTCAATTTTTATTTCATTTGATTTGATTTTTAAATTGAAAGTTTTCCCCCCACCATTATGTTTTGATTGCATTTTAATCATGTTTTATCTTTTATAGTCCATCAAAGGCCTCAGCAAGGAGTACTTTATGAATACAAATATTATTGAAAGTGTTCTCATCCAAATAAGCTGTAGATTGGAACATTGACTAAAAAGAATATTAAGAACATGTAGGACTCCTGATCTCTCATCCACACAGCACACTGAATTCTTTGTTTGTTCTGTTGTTACAGCACCTCCACTGGATGTTAACTACAGCTTCCAGTAGAGTTTACACTGCAAGATTGGGGTGGGGAGGAAGGGGCGAAATTTTAAAATACATATAATCCCTCCCCCTCAAAATGAGTATTGTCCTGGTAGCATTCCAGTCAGTTCCTTGAACAAAATATATTTTAAAAATACAAATATTGTAAATGTACACCAAAAGAATTTTCAGCACTAGATGTGAAAAGGCTACGTACAAATGTTTTCGCTTGTGGTGGGCGGAAAGATTTTTGCGTCAGTTTGAATCTCTATTTTTTAAACGCTGATGCTCGTCTGCACTATGCAGATTCAATTCAGAAGACCTGCGATGCTTTTTTTTTTCTTTGTTGGCAGCAAGTGTATCATTAAAAAGAGCAAGTTAGAAGTGTTTTGCATTTCATCTTTCTGAGAATTCGTCTACTGGTGCATATATAACTGACAGTTAAAATTAGACATGTATTAAAATCCGTTACTGAAGAAGTCCTCTGTCTTCCACTGCGCTCAAAGCTTGTAATGTCTGAAACCAGCTAGAATATACAGTAATTGTCATTCAGTGAGAGTCTATCCTAGAAAGTCATGCTTCAGTGGAGAAGACTGAGTTTCCATTTGAAATCAACAAATTAATCCAAGACAGGTATCTGAAAGGGCAAGTTTAATAGGAAGCAGCTACTGGGCTCTCAACCATGATAAAATGTTATTGCTGTTTCCCTGTAAATTGGCTAGGAACATATGATACTTTCTGCATAAGAGCTCCATTGCTGTTCCAGAGATATACTGCTCAAGCTATCAAAATGATGACAGTCTGTCAGTCCCCATAATAACTTGCCACCGGATGTGGCAAGAGTATGTACACGCGCGTGTGCATTTACAATTGCCAAAATGTTCTTCCAGACACAGAGAAAGCAGCCAATATCCCAAACATTATTCATAATGTAACGCAAAAACAATTGCTGTGTCAAATCAATGCATCTTCAACAGAAATACTAATGAGCTACTAGGGAAGTAGAAACTAAAGATGGACACACAGATCTGGATAAAAATAAGAACAATTCTAAGCACTGTTAAAAACCCAACCACATTCATTGAAGTTTGAAAAAAGACTTTACCAACTTGTTTAAAATTCTCACAAACTTCTCCCCTATTTCAGTCTGTAGCAGTAACAAATCAGCAGTGAGACCCCACAAGAAAGGCAGTTCTGGGATTCCCTGAATGAGACTAGGAAGTAGCTAAACTCTTGAGAAATTTCAAGCCTGAGGTGCTTTGGGTAAGCAGCATCTGATCTCTCAGATAATTATTCAGACAGAAGCTTTTGAGACTCGCCCATCGCTAGTAGAAATGTGTACCCCAGCATGGTTTTTGTCATCCAAGTACCCTGAGTGGAATATTAATAATCGCACAGGGCTTGATCATGCCATTTAGGTACAGACCTACATCGAGGGCAGCACAGTCACACTGCCCCAGAAGGTGATCTAATTGTCTCCAGCCATTCCTTCCAAAATTTCCCAGTGTTCACCCAGTGCTACATCCCCACAGGGGGGCACAGCTTGTTTCTTTCCTGTATGCCTGCCCAGCTCTTCTGTGATTGTCCTTCCCACCCCCTCAACCAGGGATGGCTCCAAGCACCAGCGTTCCAAGCAGGTGCTTGGAGCGGCAGTTGGAAAGAGGTGGCAGTTTTTCCGCCGTGGTGGCAATTCGGCAGCAGCTTCTCTCTTTTGCCGTCCACGGCGGCAGTTTTTTTCACCGCTTGGGGCGGCAAAAACTGTAGAGCCGGCCCTGCCCTCAACTCCACCTTGTGGTTTCTTGTGCCCCACAGATGCATAGGGAGACAGCAATCCAGAGACTGGAGTGCAAGGATTACAACTGTGCTTGGCTGCTAAACAGTGGCATAAAAGGAGGAGGAAATTCTTGTGTCCTCAGACCCACCTGCACACCCACAAAGCAGCCAGGCACAACCTGGCACATAATAAAACTGTATAGGAGAAAAAAAGAATCTTTTGCTATACTTGCGGTGACCACTGTAGTCTCTCTCGTGGTAGACAGAAGACTGGACTTGGTTGTAATAAATATAAAGGGAATTCTTTATGAAGACGACTTCTGGTACAGACAAACCTTGTAGCTCTTTTGTGGCTCTCTAGCTCCCAAACTAATTATAAAATCTTGTGCTACCTATTGTCACCACCACACAGGCTCTCCTTAAAGGTATGTCTACACTACAATTAAAAACCCATGGCTGGCCCGTGCCAGCTGACTCGAGCTCAAGGGGCTTCGACTAAGGGGCTCTTTAACTGCAGTGTAGACATTTGGGTTCGGGCTGGAGCCCATGCTCTAGGACTTATGAGGTGGGAGGGTCACAGAGTCATACATCTATACTGTAATTAAACAGCCCCTTAGCCTGAGCTGAAGCCAGCTGGCACAGGCCAGCCATGAGAGCCTAATTGCAGTGCAGACATACCCTAAGACTGCGCAGGCAGTCACAGAAAGGACTCCCAACTACATTGCAGGCAGCAGCAATCTCCACATGACCTAGTTGTAAGTCAAATATCCACAATAGTTTATTTAGATTTTCAAGCTTTATCTTGCTAATACTTCATTTTTTTACCTGAGAACCCAAAGACCAATAAAAGGAGGCCACTAGAAACTGAGATGGTCAGCAACCCAAGTAGAAAGAAGAAGAAAAAAAGTAATCTGAGGTTGCCGATGGTATCAATATATATTTTAATTTCTCATTAATGAAATTTAGGTGCATTCTGTCTATTACTTTGTCACTAATATATTATAGCTTTTAGCAATATACATACACACTCATATGTACGTACATACGTGCACATCCACACCCAAGTGCTAAACCTCTCTCATGACTAGAGACTTTCACTATCAGACTGCAGCACTAAACTGGGAAAAGAAAAGCTCTAAATCAAAATGTACATTACTTTCCAGTATTTTTTCCAAACATCTTTCTACTACCTTTTATTATCAACATTCATAAACAGCCATGGAGTGAATAGAAAAAAGTGAAAGGCAATTCAACAATTTTAAGAATTGCCAGAACTCAATGATCAAAACAAATAAAAGCCATTTAAAAATCCAAATTATAAATCTGAAACTAACTAATAAGTAAACACTTTTAATAAAAACAGCCATCTTCATTTGTAAAAGAAGTTCTCATACAAGAAGAAATATGGTTCTCACCCTTTTAATTAAAAAAAAAAAAAAAAGAAAAAAAGAAAAAAGAAAACCCAGAGGAGCAAATTGACCATAAATATAGCAGTCCTGTAGTGCTCAAGATACTGCTTTTTGTGGGAGTTTACTACTGGGAAATTTATGCTCACTGATACCAATTTCATAAATGCTTGAACTAGGGGTGCTGGCTTTAAGTGGATTCCATTATATACAGGGTTTACAGTTTGGTTCAATGACTCTCAGCATCCCCACTCTACAAATGGTTCCAGCACCCCTGGTATACTATATTATGGGACAAATCTGTCATTTCAAAAATACATATGTAAATCTCATAGAAAATAAGAGAAGTACTTGTTTTAGTGATTCTAAACTAATATAAAGAGACCCTCTGCCTGTAAGAAAATGAAAGAGATGCAGCACTGTTGGCAAATTCTGTAGTGGAGTAGAAGTTCATTAACACAAACCCAAATATGAGGGCTTGTGTTAATGAAGCATCTTTCTTGTAGGAAAGAGAAACCCAGGGAAGTTACCTTGTTTGGTTGAAGGATGTTTTCATTTGTGTATTCAATTTCTGTTTTTCTGTTGGACATTTCCTTGTTCCTTCGCACCCCTGCTCAATAGCCAACCTTCCCTACCCAACACACACAAAAAATCCCTAGCAGTTTCAAGTTAGTAAAGCTACCAATAAGCTTTCTCCATTGCCAGAAGATGGACTTTCAATGCCAGACACGTCAACTTAGTTATGCTCAGATTTTCACTTCTCTAACCCCAGCCACTACTGTCCTTTGGGCTTATCTACAATAAACAACTTCATCCCGTTTGAACACTGTTGGGAATAATCCAGTTAGATGCCATGATGATGATGTCCACAACCTAGTGGCCAGTATAGACTGCAACAAATTGTGCTCAGCATCATGTCAATTAACTATGATTAAACCCAGTCAGGCAAGGTGTTTTGAAGAAGGACACCACCTCCATGACTTGGAATACTGAGACTAGGTCACACACTGGATTTATACACACAAGAATTTCACCTATGGAAAAATTCTACTTTTGTTTAAAGTGGAAAAGGTGTCCTCCATGAGCTTGATCCAAAGCTCATCAATGCCCATGGAAAGACTACCATTTACTTCAATGGGGTTTCATTTGGGCCTATACAACAAACCCTAATGTTACTTTGTATGATGACAAGTCTGTATTTAAGCGATGCCCAGTATAGGAACAGCAGGTCAAGCTGAGCTGCATTACCATTGCTGTGAGGTGGGGAAGCTTGCACAGTGCCTGCCTTCACTAAAATCTGGCATTAGCATGCACTAGCAGAATGCTACTTTCATACAACCCAAATTCACTCAACACTCGAGAGAAAAAATTAACCTGTAATGAGACAATCCAGACACTTGCAGGCTGAAAACACCTATTAGTTTCACATGGGATTTGATGCCAAGAATGTGTGTTCAAGGCCTCTTAAAATACATACATACATACACACACAAACAACAACAAAAGTAGTAAATAAAATAATCCCTAGAAATGTGGACAAAAATATAACAAAGTCATATGGCATTGATTTTTCATTAAGTGAACCAAGACTTAAAACTGACCATGATACAGCTTTACCATCCTGAATTACAATAGTTGTATACAATCCTACCAATTTTATTATGGCTTGGTACAGATATGCTTCACCATCTATCGTACAGACACTCAATTTTAAAATGTAAATGGTACAGGATATTGATAAACCAATTAGCACTGATGCAAAGCAAATTCCTCTTTTATCTCAATTACAACATGACAACTTAATAGGTCAAGATAGTCTAACATCTGAGACAAGGGCAATTCAATAAAACAACTGCATCTTGATATGGTAATTAAGAGGAAATGCGAATCCATTACCCTGCCTTTTGTGTGAGTGTGTATGTGCACGCATGTGTGTGCATATGCCCTTTTTTATTTATTTAAATTCTGAAGCCCTCTTTCAGTTTCTGTCATTTAAATCAAAAACCATAGAAGGACATGCAATAGTGAATTAACAAATATCTGCAGTATCTGTAGTTTCTAGTGGGCGGTTGTAAAGGTGTAGCTAAAGAGATGAATAATTCATGAAAACCCTAAGAAGCTATGCATTTACAGGATAATCTTCTCAGAAACACAGACTTTTCTTATTTATAACCCTACAAACGGTATTTATAGTGATGTAAGCTTGGGCAAGGGAATCAAAGGTAAAATATTGCAAAGTTTAATTAAATGGCTTGTTACATGTAGAGGCTCACGCAGGACTGGAAACTAGTAAAAATTTCTAACAAAACGAATACTTTAAAATAAAAAAAAATTGGTTTTAGAAATTAAAGTATTTCAAAATGTTGCTACCTACAAGTTAGATACATCACTTGTTACAGAAAAATGTTGTTCTTAAAACAGGAAACAGTTTAAGCAAAGTAATGGAATATATTTTGGATTTTTCACCAGGAAGTATCTGTTATGACTAGCATGCGAAACAACAGTAGTTAAGTTTGACAGGAGGGTAAATTGACATTTTATGACTGCATCCTAGTTTCTTTTGAGATATGCACAAATGCTAGAGGTTTCTTTTTAACACATTTTGGGGCAATATTTAATGTAGGCAAATAAAGCCAAATGGAGCCATGTGGGAGCATAATGCTTGTGATACTCGGTACATTAGCCTATGCGTCAAACAAATATACCTCCATGTTATCCGAGTGCATTTACATTTTATAGTGCATGTATCATCAGAACAGAAGAAACTGAGACATCATAGAAAAAATATAATGTAACTTTAGATATTTGTAATATTTTATGGCCACTGCAAAGAACATTCCTGTTCTCAAGGGTCCTACTCTTCGTCAAATAAACAAGCCTTATTGCATTCTACTAATGAAACACTTCTACCTTTTTTTCCTGGCAGAATCTCATCTATTCCTTCTGATCATCATTCTCTAGCCACAAAAAAGTCAACCAGCACAGCTCATAAAATCTGCTAATACAAAAACACATAAAATCCAACAAACCTGATTCCAAGATTCATAGCCTCAGCAGTTCCAATCATACTGATGGCTAAGAGCATGTTGTTGCAGATCTTCGCAGCCTGAAAATAAATTAAATACTAAGTAAGATTCTCTGTTTCCATGTAGATATCACATAGGAATTTTTTTCACCCAGCTCCAACCAGATTTTGACTGAATATGGTTAAACAGCCTCTCCCTAAATGTAACACCTGTAAGTACCAACGTACTATAGCATCAGGTCAATGAAGGTTGACCTATGGATACTTCAGATAGCATGAAGTATATTTGTTTTGCTAGCACAATAACTCCGCTTGCTTTGATTTGAGTGTGCGGGCTACTTGTTCTTTCAGACTATACCATAAATCTATTTCACAGTTTTTTAAGAAGATTGTGACCACTGAAAAGTACAATCTTAACAAGCCAAACTGCGAAAATGCTAGTTCAGATGTGTATTATTGGTTACCAAGTCAAGATGCTAGGTAATGGTACCATGAGATATTTTATAGAAGAATTTGCACCTTTTTGCTGATACCAACATCTTGTACTGGATTTCATTGTGGATTCTAGATAATTTACTTGGGGTAGATTAAAGCGAATTGGGTTAAAATGGAAGACAAGTATGGTAACAAAAAGGGAAAGGCCAGGCTGATTGAATACCAAACATTCCGCAAGCATTACCTGTCCAGTTCCAACCTCTCCACAGTAGATCACATTGGAACCCATGCATGTCAGCAGTTCTTTGGCAGCATCAAACTCTTGTTCCACTCCACCAACCATGAATGTAAGGTTCCCAGCTCGAGCAGCTCCAACACCTGAATTGAGAGGAAAACATTAGATTCAATACCAATCTTTTAAAAATCCAAAAAACAGAGACAAAAAAGGCTCAACATCTGATTTTTTAAAAAATATATTAACATTTTGTTACAAATATTTTGCATACTTCTAATCAGAAACAGAAGATCTATTTCTCTGAATTAAGGGAATTTGAGACCAATGTCCCACATATAATTTATAAGGGGAAAATGTATTGCATAACAATGTAAAAAAGTTTTAAAAAATGATTAAACATACACAATATTTACAACTTCATTCCTATAAATCTGTCCCACCTTTATCAAGGGTCAGGAAACAAACACGATAATTCATTGGCTACAGAATTTTCAAATGGCAATACATCAAGTTTTAGCTTATGATATCTTTTGTTCTAGGGGAAAATAAACAATTCTGATGTGAATTGCATCCTCTTCAACACCGTCTCCCAGACAAAACTGATTTTAATGGATGTAACTGCCCGGTGAATTTGGCCCAAGGAGACTACTTGGAAAAGTGATTAGCAACTTAGCTTTACAGTTCATTTTGCAATACAGCTAGGAACCTAGACACCATAAATTGTCTACGCTATGCATCGAACCTTGACCTATTAGAACAGACTGCTGCAAGTAATGGCCTACTTCTGAATTTAATATATTCAAGCAGTTCCAGTGTTTTTACAAATAAAAAATCCAAGTGAGGGAATTCATTTTTCTTCCACATTTAACTATTTTGTTTCCACAAAAATAATCAAACTGTCTTTCCGTTAGGGTCCATACTGCTTTTAACCAATTAGTTACGATAACAACTATTATTAAATGTTTTAATTGCAGTAGTAGTAGAGATCTAATTGGCATCGGGCCTCATTGTGCTAGATGTTGTAACATATGAATTTACAATCCCAAAGTGCTTACAGTCTAAGGCAAATCAGAATTACCTTTCTAAAAACTAACCTGAAAAAGCCATCAGAGCAAAACTCCTTCTTTTAAAATGACATTCAATGGGACACTTGCTCCATTTAGTTTTTCCTAGTACACAGAAGCATTTGACTTTTTTTTAAAAAGGTCACTTTTATAAAAGTATGATTGGACCCCAATCTCAATTAAATCCATGGCAAAAATCACCACAATAACTGAAAGCCCAGTTACAATGCAGAGGTTTTGATGAATTGGTCGGTAGCAGTTGATCCACTCCCCTGGCAAGTCCTGCCCCTACCGCTGCAGGTACAAAAGCCCCCCAAGGCAATGGAACCAGTGCTGTACTGCTACACAGTGAAGGGGTCAGGATTTGAGTAGGGGATTGGACTGCCTTTGTATGTAGACCATCATAGGTTTTTTTTTAACAGTGTGGCACTGCCAGAGTATCCACCACTGTAAAGCTCTTCCCAACACTATAAACTCCGAAGTTTCAGCATTGCAGCCACCACTCCTCAGCCATTGGATGGAGGATTTCCTCTCACCTTCTCTCTTCATGTAACTTCCAATGCCCACTCCCAGAAATCTGGGACAGAGACAGGAGCCTGGATTTGGGGCCTAAGTGAACAGATGATTGTCATATTGTTGGCTACTAATTTACCATGCAACGTGTCTGCAAAGATCACTACATAATTTTCATGCTGTTCCCCTAGCTATTTTTATGCAAACCACATAATGACCTTTTCTTACTAATCCTGTGATCTGACCTGCAGCAAATTAAGTGGACAATTTAAGTCAAAGCTTACAAACAAAATCCACCACTATCCATCATAGGTCAATAGCCTTGTATCTAGATTACAGACTGCTAAATAGCTTCAGAGAATCATTTATTAGAGCAAAATTAATGCTGACAATAGTTTTCAGCTGGTTAATCTTTTGACAGCTGCACTCTCTCACTCGTACAGATGCTTACATTTTGAGTGCAAAAAATTAAATTAGTTAAGCAAAAGAAAGAAAAATAATTTGTTTTATAATGAGGAAGCCGTGGACATTTGTACTTCTAAAAACAAAAAATCATTCATATCATGATGGGTTTTTCCATCAAGATTCCTCACCAATTGTCAGCCAACTGATCAGAAACAAACAAGCAATCCAGCAAACACACAGTATTGGTAATTTGTAGTCAATTCAGCCTCAAGATGTCATCACTTCAGCTCCAAATGGAAGCAAAAGGGCATAAGGACATGCACACCACTAATTTCATTTCATGATTTTGGAGTATAATAAAATACCAGCACTATAGTTCTTAACACTACTTAAGGCGAGAGCACGAAGGAGGTAAAGTGGCTTGAATTTAAAGGAGGAGCACTGGTCACCACTTTTGTTCCTGTATTTTATGTCTCACACACCAATTAATCAACTCTTTTGCAGACCCTCAAGATCCTTATGTCCTTCCCCTTCTCATCCTTAGAGAATGGCGGATAAGAAATTACATTTGTGATCAGCACAGAATTTCACTTGTAAGATTCTCCCCTCCAGCAAGCCAATGTCATTGGACTCACAAGGCCCCAGTACTGCACTGGGTTTCTCTAGAGTTGCCTCTGTCGTGTCTGTGAAGTCTTACGGAAGTCCTGATGGCAGAATGCAAAGCAGGATCGGGAACCAGCTAGCACACTGGCCCATATTCTACTTTTCTTACCATATAGTCATATGACTATAACAGTACAGAACAGAGAGAGGGGGAGAAGGGAAAACATTTTTCCTACAACAAAAATATTAATAAATTAAATTTTAAAATCTAAGATGATTTATTGCTGCTGGAAGGTATGGACCAATCTTTGAAATCCTGAAGGTGGAGCCCTCTAGAACAAAAGACCTACATCCTTAAACGTGGGAGGGACCACAGATCTAGGAATCAACTAAATGAAAAAACAGCAATGGAGGTGGAGGTCAAATGTTTAAAATGAAGGAGCTGTACAGGGACAATGAATAGAGACCCCAAGACAGCACTCACTGCTCCCTGAAGGAATCCAAGGAGTGAGCAGAGGTCACCCAAAGAAACTCTGCACAGAGAAGAGAATTGACCAGGGAATGAAAATAAGATACACATTCTCAGAGAGCCTCCCCATCAAGCTTCCACCTCCTGGATTGGTAGATGGCTATCTTGGCCACTGCCAGTTGAAGGGGATGTCTCGCATAGAGTCATAGATGGGGTCTGCATAGAGGGAGTAGAAGTGAAGAAATGTTGCAGCCAGAACCACAGCAAGATGCTCTACAGGAGCCATAAGAGGAGTGCAACCTGGTGTAATGGAGGTAGGTATGTCTCTCTCTCTCTCTCTCTCTCTCTCTAGTTGCCTGTAAGGTGTGAGACTGACAGCCTTGGAGTCTGAAGTCCTCTATTTGTACACTGAAAGGGTACAATATTAGGTAGTAGAAACAACACTGTTATGCAACCTACCTCAGTCATATCTAGAAGGGCCACCTGTGGGGTGAGAATTAGTTCAGTTTCCACGATTCCCTATTCAGGCTGCCAGAGGTGTAGTCAATTAGTGTCAAAAGTGGTGATGTGGACACTTGTCCACTAAAACCTGGATCATAGAATCACAGAAGATTAGGGTTGGAAGAGACCTCAGGAGGTCATCTAGTTCAACCCCCTGCGCAAAGCGGGACCAACCCCAACTAAATCTTCCCAGCCAGAGCATTGTCAAAGCAGGCCTTAAAAACCTGTAAGGATGAAGATTCCACTACCTCCCTAGGTAACCCATTCCAGTGCTTCACCACCCTCCTAGTGAAATAATTTTTCCTAATATCCAACCCAGACCTCCTCCACTGCAACTTGAGACCATTACTCCTTGTCCTGTCATCTGCCACCACTGAGAACAGCCTAGCTCCATCCTCTTTAGAATCCCCCTTCAGGATGGAGAACATGAGCTCATTTCCTTGAGGCCCAAGAGCCTTCAGATGGTAATGGTAAGTGGTCACTACTGACCTGGGCCAGTCAGGTCACTACTGACCTGGGACAGGTTTGTGCTAAGTGACCTACAAGTGAAAAGCTCTGTACCTAATCAGTAATCCCCCAAACACCTATTTCTCCTAATTAATTTAGCCACATTTATTTAAACCTCACAGCATCTTATACCTTGAAAATCCTGAGGTGTGTATAAGACTTACTGGTATGGCAGTATTTCCAGCTCTAAGAGCTAGGCTTTTACAACCACACTCCAAACTTTTGCAATGGTAAGAGCAATTTGATAATACCCAGCTTGTTTATTATGTAGGAATGTGAACTGAAAATCACTGAAAGAAAATAACCAATTGCATTTACATGTAAATGATTTGCTCTTATTTTAGAGCACCATTTTTACCTTCTCCCCAAACAAAATATAGTACATTAAAAAAAATAATAGACCAACATTCTAAGGTGTGCATTGTCCAGTTACATTGTTGAAAACAAAAAGCTTCCCATTGCACCTAAGTGTGTGCATATACCAAGATAATCAGAGTCTTGCTGTGTGTTGTGTACACACAGACACTTTGTAAATGATTTTATTGTTGACAGAGAAAGAAAAACTAAATTTAGCTTATCCATTGATTATGAAAACTGTATGATCCTGTGACTGTACTGGAGACTCCAGCTCCAACCTTCACCCTGCCTTTTGGAACCGTGAGAGGTTTAGGCATAAATATCTCTTTCCTCCTTGTTCTATTATGTATACAGTGGATTGAACAATGTTGTATTTAAAACTAATTTATGATCTGAAACAGATTTAAAAACAAAAAAGAAAACAGGGTTAGAGTTTTAATGCTCTCCTGTTTTACAATGTTGTACCTTCGAGTGTGAGAGTTTAAGCTTTGACTGTTATGCTTTGGAAAATGCAAGAGAATACTAGCTCCTTATTCCAGTATTCTTGCAAAAATACAGTTTAAAGGACTATAATCCCCTAAAACAAGTAGCTTCTTGTCATCTCTTTGCTGCCTTTCACATAGGCTTAACTTGAGAGCTGCATGTGTTTGTTTTCTTTTAAGGGTTATGTGATTCTTATTAAAATTCTTGCCAGCTCACATGAAAAACTTTGTCTTAAGCAGTG